TTAACTGCCTTAAAAGATTAGACCTAATCCTTTGAGAGAAAGGACAAGAGAAAAATAGGTGGTCTAAGGTTTCTTCCTCCCCATTACATAGGTAACAGCAAGAAGGGCCCCTTAGTCCTTTCATTTCAAAATGTCATCAGTTGGAAGCAAGGATTGCCAAAGTCTCCGGCAGAAAAAAGGACATAGAGGGGGTCAACCACTTACACAAGATAGTTTTACCCCACAAGACAGGTTGCCGCTTGTAGAAGTTTTGAAATATATAAGCAGACAGCTTCTGTGATGCAGCTTGCTTAGTAACCATTTTGTCTTTTTGTTCAGGGCAGAAAGAGGTGTTCTTTACCTATTGTAATTGTTTATCATTTAAAATAATATTCAACATGTTACAATTCCATTGGTTATCAGACCAATATTCTTTCACCTTAGACTGATAATTGGGGTTAGGGGAGGAGCAATGAAGTTGTCCACCATTCCAAGTCCATTTGTCTAACCAAAAGTTAACTTGACCTTCTCCTAGTTCCCAAATAAACAAGTCTTCAGATTGAGTTCTGATCTCCAATAATTTATTCCAAAGTCTGGAATCACCAAGTTTTTTTGTAGCCAGACTAGGATGTATAGATCTGCAGTATTTCCTTTTCATAAAAAGAGCCCAAAGACTGTCCTAGGCCCTAAATTTTATCCAAAGCTTACAAAGATTGATGAAGCTTAGCTGTTGGAAGACTTTGAACCCCAGACCACCAACATGAAGAGGTTTACAAAGTTTCTGCCATGGTAACCAATGATTCTACTTTTTCTGTCCAGCCCACAAAAATTTATTGAACATTCTCCCAAGCAGCACTTGAGTTCCTTTTTTCATTGTAAACATTTTGAGAGCATAGGAAAGAATGTCAGTCCAGATGCTTTTAAGAAGAGTTATTCTTCCACCATTGGAGAGGAAGGAGTTAGTCCAGCATTGTAGTTGAGCTTGGATATGATCAATGACATCATTAAATTGAGTTTGCTTTGTTCTTCCTTTAATAAGTTGAACCCCCAGAAACTTGATTAGCAAATTGGCAAGACTAAACCCAGTATACTGAACAATCTAATGCTTTATCTGAATGCTTTATCTGATCTGTGGAAAAATATGAGAGCTAGTAAAAATCTGACATGTTTGTTTGTTAAGTTCCATACCTGAAATTTGTTGGATGTATTTAAGCCCTTGATAAAGCTTCTTAACAACAATCTTTGTAGCCCTAGAGAGAATGATAATATCATCAGAATAGGAAAGGTGACTCACACCAACATTAGATCTATGATGATATACCAAATAAGGCTATGTAGTAAACATATGCTTCAACAATCTAGATAAATAATCCATAGCCAAAATAAAGATAGTTGGTGACAAGGGGTACCCTTGTTTGATGCCCCTAGTATCAGTGAAGAACCCATGGATTTCCTCATTAATTAACACAGAGTGATTGTTACATTTAAGCCATCTCCTGATCAAATTTTTGAAATCTTCAGAAAAGCCCCTGACAGCCAAAATTTCCAAAATGAAGTCCCAATTGATGGAGTCCTAGGCTTTTTTAATGTCCAGCTTAAAGATAATATTACTGCCTCTACACTTTCTATTCAGATCCAGTAGAAGTTCTTGAGCAAGTAGAATATTTTCAGTGATATTTCTGCCTTTAACAAAAGCCACTTAGTTATTGCTGATAAGTTGTTGTAGGTTGTAGGTGGTTGTTGTAGGTGTGGTTGAAGCCTAGTGACAATAATTTTACTTATTACTTTATATACCACATTTGTAAGGCTAACATGTCTGAAATCTCCCCAGCTTTTCCTAATTTGATTCTTAGGAATCAGTGTGATAGTAGAAGCAGTGAAGTATCTTGGAGGATCCACACCCCTGAAAAATTCTTGAACAACAGCAATAAAGTCCCCACTAATAAGAGGCCAAGATTTTGTATAGAAGTTTGCAGTTAAACCATCTAGTCTAGCCACCTTGTGCCCATCAATAGACTCCAATGTTGCTTTAATTTCTCCTTCAAGAAGAATATTTGTTAGCTCCAAGCTTTGGACATACTGCTTACAACCAGCCAAAAGTTCAACATTAATTTGAGGTCTGGAAACTGGTTGAGTACTGAAGAGGTTATGGAAATAGTTGACAGCATCTTGTGCAATAGCCTTAGCATCAGATAGACAATTCCCTTCAGAATTAGTAATAGACAGGATCATGTTACATTTCCTCCTGTATTTAATACAGGCATGATAGTAGCTAGAATTCCTATCTCCCTCAATAAATTTGGTGACAACAGCTTTTTCTTGTTGTAGAAGAGGGAGGTGTAAAAAGGAACAACAACCTCCCACCCGAAATACTCCTTCTCATATAATTTTCCTCAGCAATAAACTTGATTAAGCATTTGAATATAAAATAAAGCCATATTATAGCCTTGATAATGCTTATAACGCTTCCAAAGGGAATATTTACCCGAAATAATAAAAATCAGCTAACAATCTTTCCACCAAAATCATATAAAGCTTAATGTTACATAAAAGGAGCAACAATATCTCAAAAAATATCAATAAAACACCCAAATCCATAAACCTTTATGTCATATACAATCAACCGGAAACCACATTCCATCAAGAATAAAATCACACCTCCCTTATTTCAGAAATTATGTGTAGTAGGTTTGAGAGGTACTTTCCTTTATAAAGGCCCTCTCCTGTCACCTTCCTTTCTTTCTTTTTCTTTCTCCATGTATTTGTCTACTTATTTTAATGAATTGGAGGTATGCTCCTTATATAATATATATATATATATATATATATATATAGAAAAGAGCAACTCGTGGCTCCTTGCACGTTAATAATGAAAAGGGTTACAAGAGTGGGATGAGGTAGTGGACCCCCCTCTCACAACAAAATACATCAAATTCTTAAAGGTTTTTCAAACCATAGTACAAATCCACTCAAATTAAATCAAAATACATGTAAAACCTCAAAACGTATACTGCAAGAAAAAGTATACCCAAAAATACATGTATACCAAAGCCCATGTCAATTAGTGTAGAGGAAATAAAGTTGAATATAAGAGTGCTATGTCCAGAGAGAGTAGCAACATGCTTCGGCCAAACCTCCAAAAAGTAATGAATTTCATCTTAATTGTGTTTTGGCCAACAAATTCTGAGGTGGGGAACCTCAATTCTATCTCCATTTAGTAGAAAAAGAAGTGGAGGAGGAGGGGAGGTAACTACATATGTGGTGTTGGAGCCTAGACCATATTTTGCAATCGAATTAGCAGGTTTGCTGCCTTCCTTGAAAATAAAAGTGAAGTTTGCATGGATGTGGGTTAATAGTCTTCTAATCTTTTGAATCCAGTAAGAATGGTGCCAAGGTGTCTCTTCCTCAGTGCTAACCAAATTAATAACCACTTTAGAATCCACTTCAATCCATTTATGAGTCCAACCAATCTTTATTGCAATGTTAACAACCCAATAGATAGCAATAAACTCAGTTTCAAGGACATCAGTAGCCAAAACAGGAGTATGAAATTAAAGAAGGCAGTGTCCTAGGTGGTTTCTGAATAATCCACCCACTGCACCAACCATCTCAGAAAAACTTTCATCAGTATTAAATTTGATAGTCTTACCCTCAGGAGGCTTACAGAAGACTTTGTAGATATGTAAGGGAGTTTCCTTGCCAATGGAGTAAGAGTTGGAGATGTTTGGAAATTTTTTATGTCTGATCATCTTATGGATGTAGGAAATGATGTTTCTAACCACCTTTACAGTTGTGTAGATAGTCTCTTCGAATTTGGATTTATTCTTGTTCATCTAAATAAACCATGCCACAATGAAAGGAATAGGAGTACATTTTATCTGATGCCAACTCTACCAGCAAGTAAAAATTTTATCCCAAGTGAGATTGAAAGCTTCAACATTTAGATGTTGCATAAGCTGGTTCCAAACTCCCTGTGCAAAGGTACATTCAAAAAATAGATGGGTTATAGATTCCTCTTCTTGCAGACATAATCCACATCTAGAAGATCCTCTTAGGCCTTTCAACTTGAGTATATCATTAATGGGGAGGAAATTATGAAAGATCCTCCAGCGGAAGAAAGCCATAGATGGAGATAGGAATTTGTTCCAGACAATTTCACCCCATGGTATCCTCTCCCAACCATATAATCTGGAATAAATAGCTTTGGTAAGGCTCTGGTCAGAGTAAATATGCCAAACAGGTTTGTCAACCTTTGTTCTATCAAACAATAAAGTAGCAATTCTCTTAACTGACTGCTCTTGCAGGATGATTGAAAGTTTTTGGATTGACAAGTTGTTGCCTTCCCAACAATCATTAATCTTAAGGGTTAGATTAGGGGAATTAAGGGGAAGTAACCAATCTTAGGGGCACCAGTGATCAAGCCAAAAATTGATATTCCCATTTCCCAAGTCCCATAAGAAAAGTTCTTCAACAATATTTCTAATCTTAAGAATCTTCACCCAAAGTTTGGAATCTCCAATCTTTCTATTCACAAGTGTAGGGTGTTGATTTTTACAATATCTTCCCCACATAAACTTAGCCCATAGGGAGGTCTGAGTTTTAAACTTAATCCAGATTTTGCACAAGTTGATTTGAAGCAGTTGATTTAGGCCCTTGAAGCCAATTCCTCCATCCAATTGAGGAGTAGCCACCTTTTGCCAGGAAACCCAATGCATTTGTGTTCTATTTCCAGACCAAAGAAATCTGTTAAATGCTCTTTCCATTTGAATTTGGGTGCTTTTCTTCAAAGCAGTCATCTGCAATAGTAAGAGGGGAAGGTATATATACATATATATATATATATATATATGTATGTGTGTGTGTGTGTGTGTGTGTGTGTGTGTGTGTGTGTGTGTGTGTGTGTGTGTGTGTGTGTGTGTGTGTGTGTGTTATAAAAGTGCATGATTCCAAGGGATCTTCGACTGGGCGTAGGCGGCGGTAACACCAGAAAAAACCCTAAGGCGGAAAATTCAACGCCGCCGCCATGTGTCAAATTCTTGCCGTTCTGGGTTGCTCTGATACTTCCCTTGCAAAGAGGTCCCGAATCATTGAGCTTTCACGCAAGTTACGACACAGGGGCCCTGATTGGAGTGGCATACATTGCCACCAAGACTGCTATCTGGCTCACCAAAGATTGGCTATTGTAAATCCTACTTCGGGTGATCAGCCCCTTTACAATGAGGACAAGTCGATTATTGTCACAATAAATAGGGAGATATATAATCATGAGGAGCTGAGAACAAAGCTCAACTCTCATCTATTCAGAACTGACAGTGATTGTGAAGTGATTGCTCATATTTATGAGATTATGGAGAGGATTTCGTGGACATGATGGATGGAATGTTCTCCTTTGTTCTCCTTTGTTCTCCTTGATACTCGTGATAAAAGCATTATTGCTGCACGTGATGCCATTGGAATCACTCATTTGTACATGGGGTGGGGCCTTGATGGGTCTATTTGGTTTGCTTCAGAAATGAAAGCCTTAAGTGATGATTGTGAACAATTCATTTCCTTTCCTTCTGGTCATATATATTCTAGCAAAAAAGGTGGGCTTCAGAGGTGGTATAATCCGCTTTGGTTTTTAGAGCTCATACCATCAAGTACTTATGATCCAAAGGTTCTGCGACAAGCATTTGAGAAGGCAGTTGTAAAGAGGCTGATGACTGATGTACCATTTGGAGTTCTGTTGTCTGGTGGATTAGAATCTTCTCTTGTTGCTTCGGTTGCTTCTTGCCACCTGAGTGAGTCAAACTTTGCAAAGCAATGGGGATCTAAGCTACACACGTTCTGCATTGGGTTAAAGGGTTCTCCGGATTTAAAAGCGGCGAGAGAAGTCACAGATTATCTCGGAACATTTCATCATGAGTTCCACTTCACAATTCAGGAAGGCATTGATGCTCTCGAAGAAGTTATCTATCACGTAGAGACATTTGATGTGACCACTATTAGAGCAAGCACCCCAATGTTTCTTATGTCTAGGAAAATAAAGTCTTTGGGTGTAAAGATGGTTCTTTCTGGGGAAGGTTCTGATGAAATATTTGGAGGCAATCTATATTTTCATAAAGCACCGAACAAGGAGGAGTTCAACCTTGAAACGTGTCGTAAGATCAAATCTCTTCATCTGTATGATTGCTTGAGAGCCAAGGAAGCAACATCCGCTTGGGGTCTAGAGGCTCGGGTTCCTTTTCTCGACAAGAATTTCATCAAAGTAGTAATGGATATTGATCCTGAATGGAAAATAATCAGACCTGATCTTGGCCGGATCGAGAAATGGATATTGCGCAATGCTTTTGATGATAAGGAGAGACCATACTTGCCCAAGCACATACTTTACAGGCAGAAGGAACAATTCAGTGATGGCGTTGGTTATAGCTGGATTGATGGCTTGAAGGACCATGCCAACCAACATGTTTCAGATGCCATGCTGAATAATGTGAGTTTTGTTTATCCCGAGAATACCCCATCGACAAAGGAGGCGTACCACTACCACACTATATTTGAGAAATTATTTCCTAAGAATGCTGCGAGATTGACGGTTCTCGGCGGCCCTAGTGTCGCTTGCAGTTCTGCCAAAGCAGTGGAATGGGATGCAGCTTGGTCTAAATGTCTCGACCCATCCGGCCGTCGGAGTTCATTCTGCGGAATATTAATCGACTGCTTCCCAAGCTTCAGCTCAAGAGAATGGCTCTTCTTTGATTGATTTGTCTGAGAAGTTAGGCTACTTTGAAGCACCTACTATTAGTATTTGACTGATTGCTTTTCTGTCTTGGTGCTGAAACAACAAAGCAGATTCAGATGTTTGGATTTGTAATTTTGTATTGTCTTTTTTTTTTAATTTCAACTCTTCATATAGATGTCTGGGAGGAGTTTAGGATTAATCTCTTTGCACAAATTTGTTTATTTATTGTTATATAAAGGTTATATTGAACTTAAAAAAAAATTTATAAAAGAGCAACTCATGGCTCCTTACGCGTTAATATTATAAAATGTTACAAGCTTTGAAAGGGATAGTAGATCCCCATCTAAAAGCAAAAAAAAAAAAAATTATAAAATGTTACTCATGGCTCCACTATCCACGATACAACTCCACGCAAAAGAAAAAAAAGGAAAGAAAATAAAATAAAGAAAAACATCCAAAGATACATGTATACCCACAAAAATGTATACCAATAAGAAAAAGTATACAAAAAAAACATGTATACCAAAATCCATATCCTCTAAAGAAATAGAACATCAAAACTGAAAAGGGAGGCTTTCTGGTCCAGTGAGAGGCACACCAGTTAACATTGGAGCTAAAAAACAGTAATGTAGCCCTGTGCAAAGCCATAAAATCATTGAAACATAGTAGAATCATCAACCCGATTAAGGCAACATGAGTAGTAAATAAAAATGTCTTAGGCAGATGATGAAACTTCCCATCAGTCATTAGAGTCCAAATACATCCTGTGAACCTGCAGGTAGGCAACAGAGAAAAGAAGGCAGCAAAGGTATAGAAATGAAAAGCTTAAGTCCTTCCAGCAAAGTAAGCTTCAATCCTTTCAGGCTTCAACAAAATCTAGGAAACAAAAATCCATGTGCTACTGATCCCGATATTTTGTATATGCATAGATTTATGAAGTTGACACCACTACTTGAAGATTTTAATCCCCGGTAATGGCACTAAAAACTTGATCCCAAACTTGATCTCAAGCAAAGTAAGATTTAAATTATATTTATAGGGATTCTGCGTAAGTATACGTATCGTTATCAAGTAATATGTGGCTTTCTGATTAAGCTCCAAATATCGATCCCATGGAGATCGAGGTTAATCACGATGGCTTTCAAGAGAAATTCTAGTTTAGAATAACACGCCCTAGCTTGGAACGTTGACACAGGTTTGGTTTTGATTATATCCTACAATTATCACTAATATACTACTTCTACTCCTAAACTAAAATACTTAGTGAAAATCAGAAAGTGGGGTTTAATATAGTAAAAGTACTCTTTATCATGCAATGAAATTAGTGACATGTGTAAAAGTAAAACAAACAGTGAGAGATATCATGACAAATAGGAGCAATTATATTCTTTATCCTTACTAGAGATGATTTAAAGAACATTGGTTAATCTAAAGTTTGAATAGTTCTGAAGATGGGCTAGGCAGAGAAGATACTAGCTCTCACTCTAGAGTTCCCTCTTATCCCTCTACCTAGAGGCTAACATCTCACATCAAACCTAAAACAATAGACCAAATTAGGGGGCTTTAGCCTGTCACTCTAAAGTCCTTTAATTCTACACCCAATAAAGATTATTTTCCTATTTATTTGCACTCAATTATATGGACTACATTCTCATCCATACAATCTCATGTGATTCTACCATAGTTGATTGAGACAATATTATCCCGGATCTTACATGTTCTCACTACAGATTTTAACATGCAAGTTGATAAAATTTACATGTAAATGAAGAACAAAGTAAAATCATCACAATATATTCTCACTTTACTCGATTCTATATCCTACACATGCAAACTAATTCATTACAAGAGGGAAGAGTAAAAAAAACTACTCACTACATATGGAGAAACAACAAGAACTTTTCATTGAACAAGACTTTGAAAACATACAAACAAAAAACTATATTCAAATCAAAATACAATAAAAATACTTATCTCTGATAGAAATCAAACTCTCCTTATATAGCAAAAACAATCTCGTTACAATCCTCTCCAAAAATAAAGTGAAAAGAAAAGAAGAAATCTCTCACTCTCTCTCTTTCTCTCTCTCCTTGCCGCCCCGCTTGAGGCTCACACCCAAGCCATCTTCTTCTTCTCCAAGCCTTATTATCTTCTTTTAATTAATTCAAGAGTCTAAGAGATATTCAAGAGAGTTTTTAAAAACATTTCCAAGCCTTATTTATAGTTTCCCGAGAGTTTCTGAAGTGTCTCTTCTAAACTGTCCAGATTCAATGAATCTTCCAAATAGTGCTTGAAGTGCCTCTTCAAAACTCCTTCTAACCATCCCAAATCCTTCTAGAAACTCCATTTTATCAATTCCAATGAATTTCCCAAGAGATTCATGAAACAATGCTTAAAAAATCGTCCAAATCCATGTATATTGAAGAAGTTATGCTAAAAGCCGTCACTGGCGCCTAAGCACCGATTCTGGGGCACTTAAGCGCCCCCCTCTCTGTCTGGTGGTGCCTAAGAACAATTTTTGGCGCTTAAGCATTGGGCACAGGTACTTAAGTTTATGGTTTTGGTCCCCATGGCTCCGATGTGCCCCGGTTCAACTCCGATGTGCCCCGGTTCAATGTGCCCCGGTTCAACCCGATTTGCTCCGTTTTGGTCCATTTTTGTTCCTTTTCCTCCAATCACTCCAAATTCTTCAATCTGATGTGTCTACAACCAAAAAAATAAGAAAATATACCTTTAAAGTGCAATATCATTACAAAATAAAGTATGAAAATAGTACATTTTTAGGCTTATCAAAATCCCCCAAACTTAAACATTACTTGTCCTCAAGTAATACTATATTTTTAAAATAATTTATGTAGATTAGAGTTAATTAGTCTTGCTTCAGAATTGCTAAATTTTTTTTCTAAAAATATGATAGTTCAAATTAGAAGAACTTTTAGTGAATCAGACTAGCCCAGGGTCTAAAATATTTATCATCAAACTTGAGAATTTGTTTTCCTGTCTAATTCATAAATATATGCATATTTTTCAAACTTCAGATTCTATGAACTTTACTTTCTAGACTTCAGAACTCTCTTAAAAATAATTTTTACTAATATAAGTATAAAAATCAAGCTTATGATTGTTCTAAGTTCTTTACTCTAGAAAGACTCAAGTGAAACCAATTTTTAATTAGGACATCTTCTCAAGCTTCTCCTAACTTTATTTATTTATTTATTTTTTGCATGAGGATTACTATATTTGGAGAAGTCCTTAAATGATTTTGAATTTCACTATTCTCCTCTAAAGTTAAAACTTATTACTTTCCTTCACTTGAAAAGATGTATATTTTTTAAAATACTTTCTAAAAGAGCATTAAATGTTTGAAAATAAAAATTCTAAATATCCTTAGTTTCTCAAAAAATAAAATTTTCCCTACTAAAGATAGTTATTCATTTTCCCAAGCTCTCCAATAAATATTCTTATCTCTAGGTTCACCCTTTTCACCAAAAATATCAACTAAATTTTCCTACTACATTTCTATACTTAAAATTTTAACATCCTTAAGATGACTCCACATAACAATAATCATTAGAAATAAAATACAAATTTATTTGTAGTATTTTTGAAAACAAATAAGGTTTAAATTTAAAACAATTTTCTTTTCCCCCAAACTTAAGCTCAAATATGTGTAACATTGAAGTACAAAAATATTCGGCAGGGAAAGATCACTTTTACAATTTACTACACATCCTACAAAAATATCAACAAATAAGTCATGGTAGAATATTGCAGTAGAAAGTAAATCTAGCCTAAACATGCTTGACATAACACTATGAAGGAATTTTAAATAGTAGAACAGATACAACTGAAGATTAAACAGGAACACCTTTAAAATTTATAAAGGAATCGCTAGATGCTAACAAGTTTAAAATATTAAGATAAGTTTTCTCATCTCCAATGACTCTTTCTCCAATGACTCTTTCAAATTGACTCACAAACCTAGACACACAAACTCCAATACATAGACTCACAACTTCATAAACAAACAACAACAGAGGTTAATTCAATCTCCCTTCTACTCACATTTCCCCTCCTTACTTTCAATTTCTAAAGGAAGAAACTACACTAATAATGTGTGTGCATTATAAAACTGTATATGATTATCACCTATGGACTAGAATTCCCTCATATGTTGTCAATTTCAGGGTTACTCTAAGTCTAAGGTATACACACTCTGGTAAATAAAAGTAGTGGAGTTCATCCATATGTTATTTACTAAGTAAGTTCATGACCTTAATCAGTGAAGATAAAGTCAAATAAAGGAAGTAATAGAATTGAAATAGAGTGGTCCAAGTCCAAACTCTACATGCTTCAAGGTAATGCTTAGCTCCGGTTAAGAACTAAGTCGTAACAAACTCGTTAATCTACTACTACCAGAAATCATATACAAATCTAGTCATGAAGAAGGAATTATCTCACAACATTAATCTAATCCACTCTTACACATCAAACACGGATCAAATTCCAACATCTTACTAATATCTAATCCAACATAACAACAATCACACTAAACAGATAACAGAGATAACCATGGGTTAGCTCCCATGAAGCGCTTGGTCTAACATTGACGACTCAATGTATCCAATGTTTACTCTGATTGCCCCAGCATCAAAATCTCATTCATTTTTTTCTGTATACCATGGAATATGCCATTCAGTGATTTTGAATAACTCTTTCTTATGAGATCTTTTACAAATTTCATCATTCAATTCAGGTTCTTCTTATGATTGAGTCGAATCTGAAGATATAAAGATTTATGGTGTTGATGAATTCCTTAGATAGGTAGGCTTTAAAATTGTATGGGGTACATTCATCTGAAGTTCATGAGATTTTTCAACAGATGGAATTAAAAGTTTATTATTTTCAGTAACGTCCATCATTTTGCACCTCTCCTGAACATACATACAATCTTCTTTAAACAAAATTTTC